TTTAATCACCTCCCCAGGGTCGACCTAATACGCTCATAGTATAGATGAGAGGAGACAACCATACTCTTAAGTAATGAGCAGAGAGTTGGAGAGACATCATATGACTGGATGAATGACTGTAGATGAATGTGACTAATGAGTGCAGAATCCCAATATGCAGTTCCATGGAGATCCTCATACGGCTTATGGTGGCCCTCCTTGCATGGATCCTGACGCAGGGTTTATACAGTATCACCGATGTTAGGAGGCGCCTGAAATATATTTGCAAGGGGAACTGCCAGAGATGGATGAAGTGACCGATTACCTCTTCCGTTTTCTCTTGTGTGTGAGTGTTGTTATCTAGAGGGAGGAAATGGGTGGTACACAGGATAAATTTACTCCCTTAGAGTGAATGATTGCTAAACTGACCCAGAGAGGAAGTGAGCAATTCCAGTCCCTACTACCAGGCGCCAATTTTGGGAATTTCTCGGGGCTGCAAGTGTTTGTAGGATCTGGATTCCCAACTTCTCCCTCATGGCAAAACCCCTTTATGAGGCCACAAAGGGGGAAGGATGAGAGCCTCTCTTATGGAAGAGGATGCAAAAGAGAGCATTTGAGAAAATTAAGGAAGCCCTGGTCGCTCCGGGCTTGGGACTCCCAGACATATCTAGGCTTTCTTTCTGTATGTACATGAGCATACTGGTGTGGCAGTGAGAATACTGACCCAGATCTTGGGGTCATGGCATCATCCAGTTGTATATCTTTCCAAACAACTTGAATCAGTTACCCAAGGCTGGCCATCTTGCCTGTGGGCACTTGCAGCTAAGTCCTCTTAGTATCAGAAGCTGACAAACTGACTTTGGGACAGGAATTAACAGTCTGAGTGCCACAGTCAGTGCTGACATGGAATGTAAAGGGCAATATTGGTTAACTAGTGCTTGCATGGTCAAATATCAGGGAATACTCCTATATTCATCTAGAACTGATGCAGACTTTGAACCCTGCCATCCTTTTGCCTATTGGAGTGGGTCAACCAAGTGATAACTATCTCAAAATCATAGATGAAGTCTTTTTCAGTCAACCAGATTTGATAGATCAGCCCCTCTCAGACCCAGACGCTGAGTATTTTACAGATGGGAGCAGTTTCGTAAAAGATGGAGAATGATTGGCTGGCCACTCTATGGTGACATTACATTCCATCATTGAGGCTAAATCTCTGCCATGAGGGACCTCATCACAAAAGGCAGAACTCATTGCACTGACATGGGGCCCTTTAGCTGGTTTCAGGAATTCATGTCAATGTGTACACAGACTCAAAGTATGCCTCCATGCACATGGAGAGTATATAAAGAGAAGGGGCTAATCAATGCAGGTGGAAAGGACATGATGTATGGCAGAGAAATCCTTGAGCTCTTAGATGCTGTGTGGGCCCTAAAAGGGTGGCAGTTATGCATCGCCAGGGGCAATCAAAGCATGGGGTGGGGTGGGGGGTACTATAGCTTTCTGGGGAAATTGCAGAGCAAATGGGGAGGCAAAGCTCGCAGCCCCTAGAGGAACAATGGGACATGTAGCACTAACAGCAACTTTGTTCCCATGCCCACTTGCAAAATTGTTCCCCCATTACTCACTAAATGAAAGCACTTGGTTCAAAACTCAAAGAGGAAGTTACTTCTCAGGTGGGTAGTGGAAGTTTGCTGATGGCAGGACAGCAATTCCTGAGTCTCTGGCCCCAACCTTTGTTAGGGACTTCTACCACCAAGGAAAATCACCTTGACTGGAAGGTCCTGGAGACCATGCTGAGCCACCAGTTCTACATTCTCTGACTCACTGATATAGCTAGGACAATAAGTGAACAATGTGAAGTGTGCACAATGACCCACGGGCAGAGTCCCAGAGCCCCTCTGTGAATACAGAGTGTTGGGGGAGCCCTATTTGAGAACATTGGTGTGGACTTTACTGAACTTCCTTGGATCAGGGGCTATGAGTATCTGTTGGCTTTTGTGTGTACTTTCTGTGGCTAGGTAGAAGCTTTCCTTACACATACAGAAAAGGCACAAGAAGTGGCCCACCTCCTCTTAAAGGAAATGTTCCCCGATTTGGGATCCCAGTCACTGTTGGGTCAGATAATGGGCCTGTGTTTGTAGCTGAAATAGTGCAGTTGGTTGCAAAAGGACTGAGGATTACCTAGAAATTACACACGGCCTAGCATCCCCAGAGCTCCAGCAGGGTGGAACGGATGAACTGGGCTCTAAAAGTACAACAGAGCAAGCTTTGTCAGGAAACCCACCTACACTGGGATCAACTGTTGCCAATTGCCTTGTTAAGAATTAGGTCAAGTCCGACCAAACAGACAGAAGTTTCTCCTTATGAGATTCTTTATGGTCGCCCCCCCCCACATTGTCAGTGGGAAGGGTGACCATAAAGAATGCACAGGGAGGTCTAAAAGAGTTGGGTAACATTACCCTGAGGCAGCAGTTGCAGGTCCTTAGGGTGGACCCTAAATACTCTGCACCATGGGTGAGAGAAAGGCTACATGTGAGCTCGAACACTGATGACCATTCTTTTAAGCCGGGGGGGTACAGTCTAGGTAAAGGAGTGAAATACCTAGCCCCTAAAGCCCCTCTGGAAAGTCCTTTCACTGTCAATTTATCCAGCCCCACTGCAGTAAAGGTAGCTGAAGTGGTCCCCTAGATTCATCACAGGAGAATGAAGCCATCCCTCAAGCCTGGGAGTGCCCTCCTGCTCCAGCGACTCTGTGCAAGTTGACCATCCAAGGGAAGCGAGCTGTGAGCCCAGAGACCAGAGAGGACCACAGCCCTGCCTTGTGACCTGGAAGATACTTATCTACTCACAGCAGAAGCTCAAGGAGTCAACCATCTAGCAAGATGTGCCTGTGACCTACACCTTTTCTGTTCTTATGGTACTTTTAGTGTTAGAATGCATTGCTTATTATTGCAGTCCTAGCCCTTGTCCTGGCAATAGGGCTGACTGGAGTTGCGTGAGAAGGTTTTACTAGTGTTTGTGTTTCTTCTGTGGGTAGGATGTTTTGCTACTATTGGGTGTTTCTAATCTGGACCTGCCTTTTAGATCCAGGTGCTCCATCCTGTGAACCATGCCAACACCCCCCAACAAGGCAGAGGTGTCACCACGACCTTACTTTACCACGTCCATTTCTCTTGTCAGATAAACATTTTCGGCACCTGTGAGTGTAATGGGACAATTTACTCCATTTGTCAGCAAGGGGATTCGTATATTTGTTTTAATCCACAGTATTCCCTGAGTGTGGAATGGCTTAAAGTCTGACATTCCTGAAATGGGGGACGGCTAATTGACTGGACCCATATTACCAACCCTCACTCACCAGTATCAGAGTTTTTTTTTTTTTTAAATAATTATTTATTTTATTTTATTTATTCATTCATTTGTTTTTTTAATTTGACCAGAGAGAGACAGAAGATGAGGGTGAGAGAGAGAGGAAGTGAGAAAGCAAGCCACCAGATTCAGGACTCGAACCCTGGTTGGCCATGTGGGAGTGTCCAGCACTTTGACCACCACGCCACCTGCTGGTCCCCAGCAGTATCAATGTTTTTTGATGTGTGTGTGGTTATAAGTTATAATCCTAAGCATATCATCAACTGTAAAATTTTCAGTGAATACAGGCTCAATGACAAGTGCATGTGTGAACAGGTCTTACCCCAATCTGCATGTTATAGTGACCATTAAGCCTATTGTGCTTCCTGGAGCTGTGTGACATTAGCTACCTAGCAGGGTAGGAACAAAATGGCACTCCTTCGCAGGATGTTGCCACACTCAACTGCAAGTTGGAACATGCAGCCCCATCAATTTTACCATTCTCAACCCAGAAGAGTCTAAATGGAAGAGTCAGAAAATCATTATATACATATAAATGGAAGAAGCCCTGATCCTGGAATTCTATTATTTTTCAAAAGGGTTGCAATCTCACTTTGGACCTCATCTTATGAAGTTTTTCATTCCTTCTATAAAGAAACAGAGCATGGTTCTCATCCCATCCCAGCTGCCACTAGAAATTTGTTCTTGACCCTGGCAGACTATAGCCCAGACTCTAAAGTTTCCATCATGTTAATGTGTGTGTTGAGGAGCTAACCTGGGTAATCAATGGCCATGGGAAACTAGAGGGCTGGATCCCTAGAGTTTTACAATGAGACAGAACCCCCCAGACGGTCTACGGGGGTTGACTTCTTAAAACCTCAGTTACAACTGCCTTGCTTGATTGGGGATGGGGAATAATTTAACTCCTCTGTTGGAAGCCTGACATGCCTGGGCCAGAGATCCTATAATGTAACCACCCAGAAAACCCAGTGGTGAGGATCACCCAGCCATCCTGAGCCAGACCCTCATCCTCTGCCTAAATTCCCTCCTCTCCAGCAAGCTTGAGTCAATGTCAGTGCAGACATGGAGTGGCAGGCCCCAGTGGACTATACTGGATATGTGGGAGGATGACCTATACAGTGCCTCCCCAGGAATGGCCAGGGTCTTGTGTACTGGGGTCCATCTGCCCATCCTTTTCATTGTTCCTTCTTATCAGAGGAGAACATTCAGGCATTCAGGTGTGTGAAAATTGGAATACTCAGGGGAAGAAATGTGCCCTGTAAATTGGCAACTGGAAAGATGACAAATGCCTCCCCCACAAGTGCATAATCCAGTATTATGGCCTGGCTACATGGATGGAGGATGGTTCTTGGGGATACCATACCCCAGTATACATGCTGAACCACATCATCAAATTACAAGCTATTGCTGAGATCATAACTAATGAAACTGCAAGGGCCCTTCATGTACTAGCCAAACAGCAGAGTCATATACTATATCAGAGTCATCTGGCTTTAGATTGCTTGCTAGCCTCTGAATGGGGAGTTTGTGGAAAATTTAAGTAACTGCTGCCTGCAAATAGATGATGAGAGAAAAGTCATAGAAGAAATAACGAGTCAAGGAAACAGCTTTCAGAACAGCAGCCCACTGCCATCAGTGCTGTGTGTGCCATGAACCACACTTTCCAAACCTTCTTCACTTGCGCCAACATCGGCCCTCCCCCAAACTATGAGATGCTCAAGGAAGAGCATGAGGTATCTGTGCTGGGGGTGCCCCCACCCATGGCTCCAGTGACATCCACTATGATCAACATCTGCAGCAAGATCTTGGTGCCTGACCATGTGGTCTGGTCCCTATTCAACATAGTTTTTTTTGGTTGGTTTTTTTTTTTTTTTTTGAGAGCCTTTTGCTATAGGGTGCGTGTGCTCGCCAGAGAGACAGAGAGATAGAAAGCGGGAAATCACCCCCCAGGGGGTATGGCCATGCCACAATCCCTTCTCCTCCATTCTCCTCTTGGGATCTTGGGCATGCACGCACACGCGCCCGACCTGAGTTTAAGCCACCAGGTTCGGGACTTAAACCGTGGTCGACTACGTGGGAGTTCAGCGACATAGCCATTATGCTAACTGCTGGTCCCAACACAGTCTTCATTAACTGCTGCTGCTTGGGCTTCATTGCATTCACCTACTCCGTGAAGTCTAGGGACAGAAAGATGGTGGGTGATGTGATTGGGGCCCAGACCTACGCCTCCACTGCCAAGTGCCTGAACATCTTCACCCTGGTCCTCGACATCATTCTGACCATCATGTTCATCATTCTTTTCACTGATGCTCCAGTAATAATTGCAGATATGATTCAACTGATGAAAGATTCTTTTCAAGGCTTATAGTTAATGGCTGGGGTCTGCAGCCATGTCCATCATCCACCACTGGCCTGTTGCCTGGGCCTTTGGGCCTACCCTTTGCTTTTATACAGCTGCTTCTACTCACTTGTCTGACTACAATGGGATTCAAAAAAGTGCACGTGTTCAGGACCAGCAGTTGGCATAATGGCTATGTTGCTGGACTCTCATGTAGTCAACTGCGGTTCCAGTCCCGGACCCGGTGGCTTAAACTCACACCTGGCACATATACGTGCATGCGTGCCCAAGATCCAGAGAGGAGCATGAAGGAGAAGGGATTGTGGCATGGCCATCCCCCCTGGGGGGTAATTTCTTGCTTCCTGTCTCTCTGTCTCTCTCTGTCTGTCTGGCGAGTGCGCATGCCCTATAGCAAAAAACCTCTTTAAAAAAATTGCTGTTTTTTGCAAAAGCCTCTCTGTCCTATCTCTCTCTCACTTCACTGCCTTTGTGGACTCATAAAGGGGTTTTTACCATGAGGGAGAAATTTGGTATCCAAATATTATTTTATTTCATGCACATGTAGGCCACAAAATTTACAGTCCAAATGGCTCGTTATTTTTATTTACTTTTTTTTTGAGAGACTTTTGCTAGAGGGTGAGTGCACTTACTGGAGAGACAGAAACAGGAAGTGAGACTTCACCCCACCTCACCCCACCCCCCAGGAGGAAATGGCCACGCCACAATTCTTTCACCTCCATTTCCTCCCAGGATCTTGGTCATGCATGCACATGCACCCAGTGTGAATTTTAAGACGCTGGGTCTGGGACTCAAACCGTGGTCAACTATGTGGAAGTCCAGTGATGTAACCATGATGCCATCTGCTGATTCCCCAAATAGCTCATTATTAGTGTTACCAAACCCAAATAAGGTTCACTTGCCCAAGGGCTATAAAAATTAACCATAGGCACAGAGATGCTCAAGGAAGAGCATGAGGTATCTGTGCTGGGGGTGCCCCCACCCATGGCTCCAGTGACATCCACTATGATCAACATCTGCAGCAAGATCTTGGTGCCTGACCATGTGGTCTGGTCCCTATTCAACATAGTTTTTTTTGGTTGGTTTTTTTTTTTTTTTTTTTTTTTTTAGGGCTTTTTATCTTGGCGG